CTATTTAAGGATAAAAAAAATTGATACCGTTGTTAAGGCCCAAACCCCCAAAAAGACGCCTTATTCTAGGTAAAATAACAATCATGAAAAAACAAACAAACAACGGCTGACCTCGCACTGCAAAAAGAAGTCTTTATAAAATCGCTTTGCTTATGAGTTTAACCGCCTAGTTCAGTTTCAAAAGATCATTTACTTTTCGTTTAGCTTGGTAGTTACACACTGCAGTTTTAGCTGATACAATTTAGGTGGATCCTATTACGGACATAAACTGGACAGTTAATATCGGTAACGTTGTACAAGCAATATAACGTTAAGGACCTGTTAGAGCTATAAGAGCTAAGGAATAATAATCATTTTAGGTATGTTGGATTAAGGGCAGCATGACATCAGGGATAAAGCATAAGCCGGGTAGTTTTAGGAATAATAGAAATACGTTAAGGCACAACATTAGTTACACAAGAGCGACCAACTTTACGATGTATTTTTCCATTACCAAATCGGAACATATATCGAAAAAACCTCGCACTCTTTCTTAGCCTATTTTCTTCTAAGCGATATGGTCGGTAAGTGAACCTATACTTGGCCGATACTTGACCGATACTTGGCCGATACTTGACCGATACTTGACCGCTACTTGACCGATACTTGACCGCTACTTGACCGACACTTGACCGACACTTGACCGACACTTGACCGACACTTGACCGACACTTGACCGACACTTGACCGATACTTGACCGATACTTGACCGCTACTTGACCGCTACTTGACCGATACCTGACCGATACTTGACCGATACTTGACCGATACTTGACCGATACTTGACCGATACTTGACCGATACTTGACCGATACCTGACCGATACCTGACCGATACTTGACCGATACTTCACCGATACTTCACCGGCAGTTGATCGCTACATATCGGCCGATGCATCGGCCGACAGTCGGTCGATATATCGGTTGACCATCGGTCGACTATCGGTCGACAATCGGTCGACTATCGGTCGACTATCGACCGATAGTCGGTCGATTGTCGACCGATAGTCGACCGATAGTCGACCGATATATCGGTCGACTGTCGCCCGATATGTCGACCGAGTCCACCTATAGTACACATGATCCCATTCATCTCCATCTCAGTTTCTTCTGGTGTGTCCCAACTTAAAGTGACATTTACCACAGATACAAAGAGAACCGGAATTATGAAACGCTGCTCTAGATAACTCCCTCTCAAAGTTGTCCTTTTGTACTCTCGCATGTTCCAAAGCCTTAGATGCGCCTTCAACGCCTGCACGTTTTTTTGACAACATACGATCTACAGGTGTGTCTTTTAGTGCGGTGGCTTCCATTTCTTTGTCAAAAACAGCCGGTGACTCGGGATTTTCAAAATTAAGTTGTTTCTTTAGAGGGTCCTTCAACTCCGCGCTGTTGTCCTTCCCGATACTCGTAGTAGTACTCGCTCTCATTTCTTGACGCTTCTTAGAAATCATCTCAGGTGTAGACTTCGGCTACCACAAAATGTTAACTTTCAACCGGTGAAACGTCGCTCCTGGTACTGTAACAGCACATCGTAAAGCATCCATAAATGAGTCATTGCACTCGAAGTTTGGAGTCGGGGATGAATCTCAAGCATTCGATTTTACCTCGCACTACTTCCATAAGTTCTTGAAAAGATTGAATGTTTTGATCCGTAAAAATAACCTCGCATCTCTCCTCCTCGGGAAAAGAGACGTTGTAAAAGACTTTCAACTGAAGCATGTTGACAATTTGACATTCAAACTACCAGCTGAGAAGTAACTCGACTAAACATTCATACATTTTAGCGGGAACTCGCGGTAGCCGAACACTGATGACGTCAATACCGCGAGATGTTTCCAATGGAAACAAGCGCTGTCACTAATGACAACATCACGGTTTTAACGGTAAAACTTGGGCGTCAAAATTGCCTCGCGCCACACTCAATCGGGAAGCGTAGTAGTGACATTAAATTCTCTGTCCCGATCGCTGTTGCATGTGCTGTCCTACACAATTTCTGTATAAAAATGGGGGACGATTGGGATGACGACGGAAAT